GATCACGAAAATGTCTACTAGAAGCGGGCCTTGCAATTCGCAGGCAACAGCGAAATCATAAATAACGATTTGGTGAGATCTGGCTTAGTAGCTTTCTTTTGCGTGTATGGGGTGGGTAATTGCCCAAATCTAGGCTGTGTAAAGAACACAAAGCTTGCTGAGTGAATGGAAGAGGACTTGCAAAAGTAAAGGTCTACTTGGTTGATCCTAGTGTGGGTAATTTCTGGGGTCAAGACTCTTCCTTGATTTAGCACTTTTTCTAAAATGGGTGGATTTTGGGAAGTTTGAAACTAATTGATAATGATGAGAGACTGCTTCGGAAGATGTGGAAGTATTTGTTATTCTGAACTGCAATTCGTAGACGTTCTATGAGGGCGGTGGTCTCTTCAGTGATAGCGGTTTGCGCGTGTGTTGGAACGACATACAGTAAAAGCGGTGATGGCCTTGTCTCCCTGCGAAGTCGTATGTCATTAAAATACTCGTATTTGGCTCGCACCCCCCACGAAAGGCTACCATCATGTATCCGCTCACTTCTAGCGCTCGCTAAATCTAGCGACAGGCAATAACGTTCGTTAATACGAAAATGGAGTCGAATTAGCCGCTGCCAGGTTTGCTCTTGATCAGAAAGTCATCTAAGTCAGCGAAGTTTTTGGAAACTTGGGAAAGACAACAATCGGGCCAAAAATGGGATAATACCGTGACTATGAGGGCTTTAGGACAGGTTTCCTGAAGAGGGAAATAACGAGTTCGAGTTAACGACATCTTCAGACTTAGACGTTTTTATTTGTTGTATACTGTAATGCACCGAATGGAAAGAAAACCAAATGCGGAAGATTTCCATACAGCAAAAAATTTTATTTCCAACAGGCGAGTTGCATACCGCTAGACATAATCATAATGTACCGTAGAAATTAAGTCACGACTGACGTTAGTTGTGGATCTACAGAGATGCGCGGAAGTGGGATAGTCACATATATCGTGGGGGTCATTTAACACAAAGAAAGTCATGCCCAAACTGTCACGGTCCTAATGCAGTGTACAGTGGGGGCAGAGATACACAATTTTTTTTCAGCATCTAGAGAACATATTAAATTGAAACAAACGAAAACGGCAGGGGACACAACCAATGAATTCTGCATGGTACAAAAAGAGAGTTTAAATTGCTGAAAACAAAAAAACCGGAAGAGTGAGTGTGGAGAAGCAGGAGAGTTATAGTGATCCGGCCGGCCAACATGAAGTAAAAGTGAAAAAAGTTTGCCGAGGTTGCTTGACCTTGGACAGATTAGTCACCAAAAGCGTAAGTGAGGCCACTTGGTTAGAGAAATTAGCAGAAGAGATAAACGGTAACTAGCATCTTAAGATCACGGTGTACAGTAAAACTGTATAGACTCACTGGTTTAGCTGTCAGGTGGAGTCACTTGTGGAAGTTCCTTTGGAGAGAGATAATTTCAACGCATAGAAAGGGATGTGGGTGTAGTGGTCTGGCTACCCAGTAATTTAGTTTACCAGGAGCGTGTGGCGAAGAAATAAAAATAAATAACGCTAGGTTGGGTATACGATAATAAAGAGATCAGATGGAGCAGACTCACTAACAATTGTTCTCTTTAAAATAGTTCGTCGTTGGCCCAGGTCAGCAAATAACAATAATCCAATCATGTTGGTCCAGAGGTCTTCTTCTGAACAGTTCCCACATATAATCGATTTCGAAGATGTCTGAAATGTTTTGGTACCAGAGTTAGTACGTGAGACTCGCGAATGGCCGCAGCAAGCGCAAGCGAAATCAGAAGACAGAGTCGAAGTACGTGACCACGCTTGTATTATGTCAAATTGTACAAGTGCGCGTTTTTGTAGTTTTTCGTATTCAAACAAAAACCGATTATGCAATTGATGAAATACGTAGTGTTATAATGGAAGTAAAATAAAGGTACAAAACGCCACACACGCTAGTGCCCCTGGCAGGACAGAAGATCTTCTGACGTTCTCGGATTTGAAAGAACGAGCCAAAGCTCGTGACAACCATTGATGAGTTGATTTGTTGGTAGCTGAAATTAGAAGGTCTTCGGAGATTCCTGAACACGATCAGTGGTATAATTCAGGCTTAGGCAATATTCTGCGCCAAAGGAACCTTCTCAAACCACTGCTAAGAGACCCACAGCCAGCTTCGCGGAGGCGAACTTCATTTTCCGTGTGGCTTCAGGCGTTTGGAACATGGCGAAACTCGACAGACTAGATATTGAATTGTTCATATCCAGACACGGCATGCTCTAGTTTCAGGACACTTTGCAAGGTCATTGTTGAGGTTTCCCCGATTTTCTCGTTGCTCCTCGAATGTTTTGTGGTGACATGATGAAATGTGATGATTTTCAGCAACTTCATTCTTGCAGTTTGCGCACATATTGTCGGATATCTTATCACGTTACTTTATTCACTCTAGTCCTTTTAATTCTCTGAGGATCAAACGGATATTTTACTGCTATAAATCTCTTAAGGAATAGGTCAAGGGCGCTGTAGTTGATTTATTCGAACTAAGGATCAAAAGATTGAATAAGAAAGATTATGCATCAAAGTTTCAGTTTCATGCGAGGTTGCGCAAGTTTAAAGAGATTCGAGCAATTTAATCTCGGTTTCATTTTGACTGTTTTGACCCTGCATGAGCCTCCTTTTTGTGAATGATCTAAGCTAGGTTTTGGCATCTGCTTGTGGACCTCGGCCTTGTTCCGCTAGAACCGATTCTTACGAAGCCGGACGTCTACATCGACACCAAGGGTGCGATTCTGTGGTCTGAAAAACTCTAACTGGCATTGTCCGATTCGGCACACCTCCACCAACCTAAATATATGTGCTGAAATCTTGTGGAACCCCCGTGGCTCTCAGTCTGTCAGATCGTGCGTAGTAATAGTTTAGCAGAAAACACTAGGAAAATAAATACCAAAAGTAATTCAGGTATCTAGCCCTCTTTGAAACGGTCTTTATTACTATACAAAGAAAAGCCTATGAATTATTCGGTGTACATACCATCGTGTTGCTCGTATAGGCTTCAAAAACTCAACTGAACTGATTCTTGAATATGCCAAATAGTTTGTCCACTTTGGACGAAAGAAGGGCATTGTCCTTATTGAGCGTGTGCAGCAAGCCATTGTGGAGGTGGCCTCTTGCTTGGAATTCGTCTCGAGGTGTTTCGTTGTTTCCCTAATTCACGGCGACCTATGGGGGAACCAAAAAATTAGTTGCCAAAAGGTTTAGCTGACAGATTTCTCATCGATGACCCAAGTAATACACAGCAAGGATATGGTAGGACTCACAAGCTTGGAGCATGCCGTACCCTTCCTCCTTCCTATCTGGAACGCTGTTTAAATAAACTTTAAAATTTTTGTGTCCTCACATTGGCACTAATTTTGCCTAGCGCTAAAAGCGTACAAAAGTTGTTGCACTCTTTATCATCTGCCATTAGTGCGAACAGAATCCGCAGAACAAAAGGGACAAAGGCAACCAGCAAAGTCTCTAAGCTGTGTTCAGTCCATGTGTCCCACGATCCGAGTCACACATAGATTACTGTTCTGCAAACACGAGTCTTACTTGATTCAAGAGGAAATTCTACACTGGATTAGGGTGTTCCTGTCAGACAGGGCAGTCCGAGTGAAAGAATGCTCGACCAAATCTTTTCGGTCGCCGGTCTCCAGTGGAGTTCTTTAAGGTTAAGTTTTGGGACCGCTTCTGCTTTCCACCTACGTCAACGACCTTTCGGATGTTTATATTTTGAGGACGACTTGAAATCCTGGTATCTGGATGCCAATGCCCTCCAAATGGGTGTATGCACTACAAAGCAGCGGTCGCTGGACTGGCATTTTCCCCAGAATGACAAAAAGTGCGTCCATGTTCCGCGAACACCCCTGTCGCGAACGTTGAGAATGGACTAGAAGACATAACGTTTCCTTCTTGGCTGAAAAAGAATTCGCCGTTCTATCGAAGCTCCGTAAAGCCTTCCCCAATAGTACTAGCGTGGACCTTGAACACTATTTGGCCTACGTGAGACTTCTTGAATATAACAATCAAATTGTCTGCTCAGGTCGCAAGCAGGACGTAACCATCATTGAGATTATCCGACGAACCGCTACGAAAATGATTTTTAGCCTTAAATCCGTGGACTATGATACACATCTCGCGGTGCTTGAACTCTTTCCACTGGAGTGTCTTCACTTCCGAAGAGATGTAATAATTACGGTTTGCGTAGATAATGCTTAGCCCACAGATTTTCCACCGCTGATCCAGCTAACCCACGACGGGGAAACGGTGAGATTTTCAACCTCATAGCTCAAACTTTTGGTAGGCAAGATTTCTTCTCACTTCTGATAGTTGCTCGACTGTGTATAGGAAATTTTGACGTCTGTGCGCGTTAAAGATGGAAAACGACCTGTTTTCGGCCTGGGTTCCAAGCGTGACAGGGTTTGGTCACGTGAGTTGAGTGTCTGCGGAACAGAGGTTCGCATGATCTAATGAGCAAGGATGAACCACACGTATTAAGCGAAGCCGCTTGAGGGAAAAAGGAGGTTACCGCTACAAGACGGTTGTCCACGCTCCTTCCAGAAACCAGTTTAAAGCACTATTAGACGTTTATTTATGCGAATCCTCGCGCTCGCAAGCGTACTGCCCCGCGCTGAGAACATAAAGAGCAGTGCTACACCCTTTTTTCACTTGTGCCTTTCAGGTGAACGACAGCCACTGACCGACAAGAACAAAACCGACCCGGGAAACTTGGGCAAAAGCCTCGATCCTGTGTATCAATCCGTGAATCCGTGAACAACCTTTCTGAGAGGCTTGTTCAAGCTGCATTTAGTATCCAGTTCAAAGCACTATTAGATGCTTTTTCTATAGGCCCTCACACTGTCAGACCTACCATTCCGCGTTGCGAACTTAAAGAGTTTATGCCCTTCAGGTGCCCCGGGACGTTTGGACGAAAACCTCGATCCAGTGTATCAATCAGTGAACCAATGACCTTGCAACTTTCGAGCGGGTACATGAACATATGTGTTAGTTACCGACCTTGATTCAAAAATGGACGAAGGTGAAAACCAGGAGGTAAGCATGCCGAATGTCGTGGAAGATGCGTTTTTTCGTTTACATAAAACATTATTTCACTGATGAACACAGTAGGGAAATTAACTATATTGCCTCTACGATCAGTGATCAGGAATACCACTATCACAACTTTTCGATCCTTCACTTTTGTGACCTATGAGGAGTTCATGAAATACTCCGTAGGATTTTAATAATAAATAGGACCTTAATTTGGTTTATATGCACTGCAACAGCGTTCTTAATCGTTTGTTCCAGTCGCTCTCCGTCTTTGCGTAAGGTGAAATGCTTTTTTAAATATAGTCCCCGGCGCCTTACACGGTCTCTACATGCATGTGGTGGGAGTGTTGTTGACACAGATCAGTGATACACAAAGCGCCATTCAGCGGCTATGTATAACTAAACAGTCGAAAATGAGGTATTTACCGTGCAGGTTCAATGTTCATGTGACGAACTAACGATAAACAAATACTTGAAAAATACTTAAAACTCCAACACTATGGTCTTGGAGTGCACATAAACCAAATGAAGGATATATTTTTATTGAATTTGTGCGTAGACACTCACGAACTCCTCCTCTTAAAAATGAATGGTCAGGAGGCTGTGTGGATAATAATATTTGTCTGTCGATGCCTCCGGATTGTTAAACAGTTACATTTTGGCAAGTTTTCGCCTTAAAAATTATAAACTGATTTGCGAGAAAGCGTGTCCTCCTGCTCCTTTAGTCATCAGTCTCTGAACATCCTCGTCACAATAGCGCACACCATCCAAATCCGAAATTGCTGATCACCAGGCTTTTGAACTCAATCGTTCGACTGTAAAACAGTACGGACCCAGCCGTCGGGCAGGAAGAAGCATTTCATATTCAGAGGTTGAGTTGAAGACGGCAATCCTTTTAAGTCAGCATCTCAAGCACTAAGCATTCTTAAGCTCAAGTCGTAGTGATTGGAGGTACTTAGTCGAGATGATGCACTTACTAGAGAACCTTGTTAAGTCCAGTCATAAACATTCGAATATAATACTAATTTTCCCTAAATCGTTGTAACTTAAATCTAAAAATAGTGCACGTGAATGCCTTGTAGTATTGTGGACGTTCATTTAATTCGATGTATATATGGTCCGCGTTTTGAATGTGCCAGCTTCATTCTCCATAGTAGGACGTACATAGCGCCTGCTACTTATACCCAAAAATTTATGGTGAGTGAATTCTTTACAGTGAAAATTGCACCTCGCAGCTGTAACATACACTTCGTGAGTCCGGGCTTCCTACGGTAATCACTCAGAGCAAGCTTTCCAGACATCAATCAGCACCTGCAAGTAATATCAACAGCGTCACAAGTCGTCAGTTACACTAGGCTTTAACACTTCAGCCACGCCAAGTAATGCAGCTTCTTGCGTACAATCTGCATCCAAGCTTTTCACTTAATGCATGAAGAGAAACTCTGCCACCGATGACGCTGAAAGACTTGTTTTATTTGGACAGTGAGTCGCTGTGATGTTTCAGTTAGATTGCACAGATTTACACCAGGCACTATGGGTGTATCGTTTCCTTCGAAGTCCAAAGGCCACGCCTTGAGTGGAGACATCGTCAACATAAAACCAAATGACCACAGAGTTGAGGACCACATTTTGCGTAAAAAGACAACCATTAAAATATTTTTTCGCAAGAAACAAAACACTCTATTCCTACAAACAAAACAGAAATATGAGAACGCGGAAATTAGTGGTCGTTAGAAAAAACCAAATATACATTCTGCAAACGGAATAAATATTTGGTAACTGGGCCAGGTATGCCCGACTTTAGCTTTTATAGAGCTAAAAAGCTTGTACTCCCTTTCCCATTTTAGCTTACTGCTCAGTGTGTCAAGAGAGATGGTTGGGAATTTAGCTAAAGCAGTCAGTCCATAAACTCGCTGCTTCCTTGTACACAAAACTATGGGTTGATTACAGGTACACTCCTCTATTGTGAAGTCCTTAGGTGTCATGCGACGTCTTCTCTACCCATCAACTCAACTACTGTACTTCGGTCGTACTATATTACTGGTTTAAAATCCTAGATAGATTCATAGAGGTACAGACGATGGTAGCTCATATAGTTCTGGATTTTCTTAGATGGTGGTTTGCCAAATCCACTCATCATGCAGCCACTTTGATTTCTAATTCGGCTATTGATAAAGTCAATAGGTAGGTATTGTGTCAACATTTTAGTCCAATGCGAATAACTAAGCTGTATGGAAGTCCTTCTAGTTAGTGAACGCTTACTTTTGCCGCCTTCAAAATACCACCATGTTCCGCCAACATACACTTGAAAAAGCACAGTGTAAATTTTCTTTTGCTCATTCTGAACATTTTTGGTCACGGTGATAATTCGCAACCCACTTCCAGATGGCGCAAGTTTTATTGTTAATGTGTTTAAATCACCCACTTTGCTGATACAGCCGATCTTCTTGGAAGATCACCGTTTGTTGTCCTCTGCGTCGGTGAAATTCTCACCTTCTCAGAAATGACACGCTCTGGAATATCTATTACCAAACAGATATTTCAAAATATATTCCATTGGACAATGGCTGCAGCGATAAGACTCAATGTCTTGTAGACTACCTTCTTTTGGGACTTTCACTTTGGATCTTTTCGACTGCTGTTTCATCTGTGCCATCTATGATGCGAGATGAAAGAAAACGAGGTACCATAGAGGGGTTAAAATATATTTGCAGAATAAAAAGCTATGGAATTTTGCATTTCACACCACACGCAAGTCATTTGGAGGCGGGTTATGGACCGGGACTTTTATGTTTAAGGTGGGGTTGCTGTATATCCATTGTGCGGGCACGTTAGCTGGCTTGCAGTTTCAACCCTGGGTGATCATTGCTTTTGGTGAGTAAGGGACTTCACAGGACGCCAGTGAGAATATCACCAAGGTATAAGACGCGCAGTCTTTGCCTCAGACAAGTGGGACACCACTGTTAGGATTCCAAGTCTTGTCTATCCGGGAGATTTCTGAAGGTCAAGAGAAATAAGCGACATGCGTGTGGACTTGCGTACTCAGTAATATTTGAAGAATTAGTGATCGCTTTCCGTAGAGCCAGATCAGAAACTGTGCACCAGGTTATCGACTATAGCGATTTTGTTCACTGGTGAAACGCTCTTACGATGTACCTTCTTCATAACGAACTTGGCAAGAAAGTACTACCCACCTCACCCCCCAAAGAACATTGTTGGTGCCTCGTTTCACCCGCATAACTGTTCCCACATGAATACTGCTGTAAAATTCGGTAGTGATAAAGATGCTACTGTTGCTGAGGCTATGACGGCGGTGATGGTAATGACCAGCATGACGACCACGATCATGAAGATAAAGATGAAATGATGGTAATGTTGGCTTCGGAGTATGAACGCCGAAAATCTAAAATTACTCGCCGATAGTAGATCACAGTACATTCGTTAGGTTAATTTTGTCGCGTGCTACAGCCGGACCATTCCCTCGAAAAGCCTTTTTCGCACGACTACCTGAAGAGTAAGAACGAGCCAGGGGAAGTCAAGCAGTGACTTGGAGGCGAATTATGGAAGCCATTGCCACTAAGCTCAGCTGCGCTTCTCAGTGACGTCTCCATGGATGGACACTCCAAGGGGGGACATCAGCGGTTACAGACACTGTCACACGTGGTTCACCAGTGCTATCAATGACGTTCGTGCATTCAAACTGCTGTCTTCAACAAATAACTTGCCCTCGCGCTCTCCCAATCAAAAGCCCACTGACACACCAATATCTTTTACCGACTCTAATGCTTAACGAGCTGCACCTTCTTCTCCAGGTGAACGATTCTGCGACAGCCACAACAACCTTACACGCGCGTAGTTTTTACAGCCGAAGATGATGTCTTTAACTAGCTGAAACAACACGGGCTTGGATAAAGTTTAAAGCTCGGATGACTGAACAAGAAATAACGGAACAAATACAGAAGGCCAACGATAGAAGAAGCACTGGAATGTATTGTTTACTCCGTCCAAAAGATCTAGATTTTTCTGTTTGAACCACCTGTTTTCTATCACCCTGATCACATGTAAATAAGACAACACAGCTTAGAACCCAATAAATCAGTCCTAAGGGTTAAAGGGTGGATTTAACCTATAAGAATGTGTTCGCAGTGAGGTCTTCTGTTCCGTGCCGCACTGTCGTGCGCCACGTGTGGAAACATTTATACATACTTTCCAAACACCTGAGAAAAGTCCGTCCAACCGGTGTATCTTTTCCTTCACTAAATTTTTTCTGCTAATAATGTCACGAAACCTCGAATAAGACAGGGGTACCATGCTTCATTCAGCGCAAAGATCGCCGGTATTTTACTTGACACAGCAGCTCAGTGTAACCTGTATTTACTCAAGCAATCATCATCCCTGTCCTTGAAATCCGACAATTTGACAGTCTACTTCTTCTCAAGAGGCGAAGCAGTCAGACCGTTCATTAGAGCACTGCAGGCGCTGTCAAATATTTTCAGCTGAGCGCTTGGTAGAAGTATGTACGGTCTGTAAGTAGCTCTCTTATGTGTGGGAATTTTTGGATTTTTACCGGAGGAGAGATGAGCTGGCAGACTTATTTTTATTTTTAGTTTGAAATTCACACGAAACGGACGCATGATTTTGCTATCTCCCCAAATTCCCTGGCTTTGTGAAAAAAACGTTCAATATCCGAAGTGTGTTTATTTAACTGCTTCCTTGTCCAGAAACAAAAGAGGGCGCGATAAAAATCCGGCCAAATCACCAATTCTAAAATATGAACAACAAGCACCAGTCATTACACATGTGACAACTGCCACTGGTCAAGTCACTTCAGGGACATATACACGGTTGTACTGAGGCTTAGTAACAGGAGCTCGCCGGTTCTAACAAATGTCTGAATCAACTGTGGAAGCTGAAGTATTTTCGTGTCCTTTCCCGTATTACCGCACTGAGAAAAGACCCGGATAAAATCTATCTGAAATGTCCCCTACGCTAATTAGAGCAAGATAAATACGTGGCCCACGGCTTACCTGAAATTCGAATTTCTCGTCAGACATACCACGTTGCAAAACCCAACTTTCCTATGCCTGCCATGTAAGATTACTATTCTTACATAATGCATTTGATTCATCAGTGAAAAATGATTTTTCGACGTAATTTCCATCTAGTGTTCAAAAAACTGATGAAACACGTTTTATGAATTTGAGGAAAGATAAAATGTTCCCCTGAGTTTGGAAGAGGAAATATGCGGCAAAAGGAATAAAATAAATCAATGTGTGGAGGAAAGGAATACTAGTGTTTGAGTTTATCCAGTTAAAAATAAGCACTGCTATCTTTCAATTCGCTCTCAATCGAGATGTTTTCCTACGGACAAACCCAGTATTAGTATGACCTTTGGTACTACAGGAAAATTTTTCGCGAAATGAGGTTTTGTGTGAGATGCTACCATGTAGCCCAGGAGCAAGTGAGATGCCGGGGGTAGGGCCTGAACCGTGGACCTTCCAGTCGGTGAATTCGCGTTTTGAACACTGAGCAATCTCAAGCGTACAATAGTTTAGTTACACCTGAATGATGAGACATCCAACGTAATTCGACAATACCTGCTAGTTTACGCATCCTTGGTCGATAAACCCGCGCTGTTGTGAAAAAAACCGATAGCCTTTTGTGTTTTGTGCTTGAAGCTCAGCTGAATACCGCAATGTATCTAGCCAAGCGACAGGTCACAACTAACGTCCCGTCTTTCACATGCTGTGGCTTTTTCAGCAACTGGCCGCATTCAACGGGATCGAAGCAACTGGAATCGTGAAAGAAGTAAGTTTACTACTACTCCCCATATCTTCCAACTTAGATTGTCAGTTCTGTAATAGGAACTGCGGAATTTAGCGCGAGCAGAGTGCCGAAATGGTCAAGTAACATCATTGAACAATCTATTACACAACTTGCCAAACTAAACAGACCTTTCAAATATATCGGTAAGGTACAAATTTAAAGCGTTTCGTTTAGGTAGAACAAAGTGTCCTGCGTTTTGATGCAGAAAAATGGCGCTGGGTTACAGACGGCCAGTGCGTGCTTTTGGGATTGCAGCACTGACGGTAAGTTGATGCGTAAGACAGGGGAATATTAATGAGAACTGCACATCAAAAGATTTCATCTGTTGGACTTTCACCCCAGATACAAACATCGTATAGGTTCTTCAAGGAAACTACTCACAAGGTTGCTGAAAACCCCTCGTATAGGTTCATTAGCAAAGAGCAACAGGCTAACCTTGTAGTTCACTGTCCGGCCATTTCTTCCAGCGACCTTGTCGAATGTGAACCACTAGACTGTTTACCTTCACCACCCTATCCCAACCAAATTCCTTAGTCAGTGTGACTTAACACTTGGGGGACAAATGAAACCTTTCAAATGCGAAGTGCAGTTGGTTAGGAGAGTTAGAGGTACATAAACTTACTGCAGCTTGTCCGAGGAAGTGATACATGGATTCAGTTAATGCATATCTTCTCGCCATACCCTCCGTGTAAAAACTAATGAGAATTTCCGCATTTAAATCTTGTAGACATCAAATAAATTGCGGTCTTTCTACGAGATTATTAATGACGGCCGACCGTTAGTAGTACGTAGCGCCTGTCTAACCTGTCAGAATGCAGGAGTTCAAGCCTTTGCGCAGCAGAGCATATACACTACTGTTGGATTCCGGTGCCCCGGAATGGGTACCTGACACGACTTTTTCCAGTTCGACCTGTCTGACAACAACAGCTGAAACCATGCTCAGCGCTGTGTGCAAATAAACAAGTTGTACAACACTTACATCTATATTGGATGTAGCGGATGTAGCCGTCTACTTTTCAAAAATTCGCTTTTGAAATTAAAGAGCCCTGAATAATTTTGTGCTCAAATACAGGTGTTTCAGTGGACTTTTCATTAAGGAGTTAGGAGGGGGAGCTATGTGTTGAAGGCGACAGCTTGGATTCATGAACATCACTGAGAGCGCGACTGGGTTATGTCTGCAACCACTGATATAACCTGTCCCGTGGTCTCCTTTCAGGGAGACGGCAATCATCAGCGCAGTTGAGTCTCCATTAATTATATCACCTACTGCCTCCACTACGTACCTATCTACCCTACCTTCCCAAATCATCGGTGAACGAAACTGTGGGATCTATAGTGAAGTGTGGGAGAGGGCCGGAGGCGGTCAGTAATGACTTGGCAGCGAAGTATAAAAGCAATTACCAGCAAACTTAGCTGCGCTGCTCGTTGCCGTCTCCCTGGATAGGTACTACGAGATGGGCCACATCAATAATTGAAGACATTGTCGGACATGGCACAGTCGCACCCTCAATGACGCTCATGCATCCAAGCTATTACCTTCAACGCATTGCTCTATTCCGAATGGTCCGACTTAAAAGTCCACTGACAGTGCTTTATTTGGGCACTAATTTATCAGCCCCCGCCTCCAATGAGGCGCTACCTAACCCACATCCCCAAATCATCGGTGAACGAAACCGTGGCAGCTAAAACCACTGTACGCCAAGTACGCGGTTATTACAGCTGATAAATAAGGATGTATCCTACGCTGTTCCTGTCAACTTTGATTATGAGCCGATCCCAACAGAATTTGACCAAAAGGTTCAAGGAAATAGATGTACTGCTCCCTTGAAATACGAACTGTTATACAACAACATATGAATTGAGACTGAACTTCTTAAGAGAGACTTGATAAGGCGCAAATATAGCAGTGTATCGGCGGTGGCCGCATTCCACAGGACAATCCATTTTAACGGGATGAATTTCATTACCCTATGCTGTCTGAGGTTAATATAAGCCCAAAAGTGTTGATATTGTCAAGAACCAGGTTGTAAAAGTCACCAATGTTCGGCGAAACTTTTGCAGAGCCAACTAAATGGAAAAAAACTTTTACATTTATCTAGGTTGTTACACCTTCAAATGGGAAAACAAGACAATGTACTGCTTTGTGACAATCTTCGGAATTTCTATCTGAGCTTTCGATCCAGACTTCTAAATACCATTTTCAGATTATCAAAAGCACAGGATACAAACACTATGCCGAAGGAACGCATGTAACGGATCATCCACAAGCACCATTGATGCTATCACAGTGAACCAAGATGATTGAAATTCTGTATTCCTTGACTATTCAATATCCCTTGACATGACCCCAATTTATTGTACTGAGTGTACGCATAATACTCTTTGGCGTATTGTACTGAAGTTCACATGCCAAACAGGTTCAATAAGGTGCCAAAATGTGAGTCCAGCGTGGTGACAAATCACTCACTGGTCCACTAAAGCAAATGCAATCAAACTCTAGTAATCAATGCAGCCCTCGTAACTATATTATCTGTAACCATGAGAAGTTCACCATCCGCTTTTAAAATACCGTTCACGCTGGTTCCGTTTATGTTGGCTATGAAGAAGGAGTCAATGAGTTTCTTGGAGGCTACGAATTACGTTTTCAGTCCACTTGAAAAGCTAAAAATAAAGTGACCCTCACAAAATGTATCCATACCACCATGGTGAAAACAGACGGAAGAATTCGTTCCACGTCACCGACACAACGTTTTCTTCTAAAGCCAAGGAGTACATGCCATTTTCCGATTACAATAACGTCACGTGGGTGTGAAGTTTAACTGACTGGGGTAGTGAGCTTATTTTTATACCGAAATGATGAGAATGAGGGATTTCATTAAGATAGCATTACTACGTAAAAGGATACATAGGCAAACCGCCATCCATCGAAAAGACGTACCTGAAAATTTCTGTGCTAATCGCGAACCAAGTCCGGTGCAAATACATATCAAAATCAAGTATTGTTAGTTCGTTGTTAGCAAGGTAGTTTTCCGCTTGTACAACATCTGTATCTAGCAACAGTTCCCAAGGATTAGTTGCTGCATGCTATCTGGTCCTATGCTGTTGCAATGCTACCACGGTTTAGGGCATCTCAAGTCGTGGTTCCCTCTGGGCGTCATTGGTACATTGTGTTGGTCTGTGTAAACACGTAAGTGCCAACACAATCTGGTTTGGGGGGTGAGATTACGCAGACCTTCGATCGGATTGGGCTGTGCTTCTGTTGATAACTCCTGCACATTGATAATCGCACACCGTAACGTGCCAGCTTGACTGATCTAGAACCGTTCTCTACCTGTCACCAGTTCTACACCTTCCATTCTGACTTGAATTTGCTGTGACGCGAATCGTCGTCTGTGCCTATTAACGTCCATATTTTCAAAATCTATTGTTTTCCGCGCCTAGCACACCACACTGAGTACCTCAGTCGTTCTCGATATCTGTCTGCGTTCCTTGGTGACCTGTTTATCTTTTTCCTATGCTAATGATTCCTGATGTGAAGTTCTCCAGCCATCTTTCCTATTTAGACCTTAGTTAATTTACAGCACTTGATTTTATAGACACAGTCCCTGGTTCTAATTACCGGGAGACATTCTTCTAATGGATTTCATACTTCGTGTAAGAAACGTCTCAGTTCATGCATCACTATGAGTTTTGAGTTACCTTCATACGCGATACAATCTCAGCTTTAGTTCGAGTATCCGCCGATCGCCATTTAAACCTGTCAATAACTGCTTAGTTGGTTTTTCAGTCATGCATCTGAGTACACAAGGGTAGGAACTACACAGGGACAGTAATCAACGAGAATCTTTTTCAACCCAATCGGAGGGCTAAGGTGACTTAAGCAGCCCAACGATGAACGGAAAACACTAGTATACGGGCCTGAGAAAACTAAGAATGGACAACGACTCCGAGCGAGAAAATGATGCATTAGCGAGAATAAAAAGGATAGCGCAATCGATGTATGGAGAATATATTGCCCTGATGTTGATACAATGCTGACACAACGCGGTGTCAGAAATATTCGAGTAGGTAGTCTATTCTGATTATGAAAGAATGCTAGCGAATGTGTGGATACTTGTTCAGTTTGAACCAGCTGATAGCATATAAAAGGGAGGTTGAGCAAGGCGGGCGTTCTGGATTAGGACCAAGGAGTGTATCGATTTTCGCAATAGGCCATTCAATAAGTTCTATGCATTCGCCTTCATCCCGCAGGCCTCCACCAGCACCAGGGACACGTTGAGACTCATTCAGTTCGGCGTAGAACATTGTCATTCTGTTACCCAAGAGACCGACTCCAGAGCTGTGGAATAAAAACAAATTTAGTCGACAGATGAGAGGAAAATTAAAATAAGCCATTCGGGAAATACAACTACTCATGTCCTGTAGTTTTGGGATACGTACATTATACTCATGGGGAGCGTCGTATGATGGATCAATTATTATAAACGATTCCACGATAAATAATAACTATAAGTGCGAACAACATCTGTGTTGACACTGATTCTTTACCTCCGTACGGCTACACCTTATTTACGTTATTCACGATACGTGGTGAGATGGAAAGCCATCAGATCGTTTTCAGGTATGGATGACCCCAAGAAACCGTAGAAAGGACGAAACACAACTTTCGAAGCAAGCCAATCCACACATGAACAAAGACTAAGGAAGAGAGATAGGTTAGTCTGATATGAAGGGTGACCTGGTCTCTTATTATTTAGGTTACTGATGGCAAAATTTCGCATTTGGGTTATCACCTAGCGAAACACAGGGCATCATCTGAACATGGGGTGTAACGTCGGACAGAGTACGATTGCACTCGAGAACTGCACTCCACCTAGTTCTTGCATGTCTTCACGGGGTGACAGGATTCTACCAGACATTCCCGAAAACAATCGCATCCAGTTAAAAAGCTGTGCGTCTTGTTTCACTTCACAAGTGCATTCAAGCCAACAGTTTCAGAAGTTGGAAAAAGTTTGGAACCGATTGAGAAGTCGTCATTTCAGAAGAGCTTGGTAAACAATCGGTAGTCGTTAATTGACACTCAACACTGATTTAGTCTGAAGAGAACTTACTGATTGGTTCCCCGTCTGTCTTATAACCTGGCCAATTTTGTAACCTGTTCGCTTGGCCTGATGAAGCTTTTGTGTCAAAAGCGAAACGTTGCCCAAATAAAAACTACCGATTGTTTACCAAGCTCTTCTGAAATGAGTTTCAGAAGTTATTCAGGAGGAAGATAGACCTACAATCAGTTACAAAGACCACCACTAAGATGGACGGTATGCACAGAGGATCAAACTGGCTGGATCTCGACTTCAAAAGGCCATTGAGCATTAGCTACCACTACGCTATTTGGTTCTGAAGTAAAAGAAGTTCCCTTGTCAAGGTTTTCCTTCACTCGTCAGGTTGGAAAACAACAAAGAGTGGGTGGTGCATGTAATCACATTTTGGTTTACAGTATATGGAAGAAACAACATATGACCAAGGGAGGGTGGCCTTCTGCTATTATTGTCATCTGCAGAAAAGACAATAATTAGGTACAGAAATCATGGATGCAATAGTCAAATTTCGATCACCACAAAAGCTCTCATAGAAATCATTTGGCAAAACTCCCACGGGTATGAGCAACACAGTCACGAAGAACAGCACTCGGAAGATAGATGTAACACATATGGTGCGTCAAGTAAAAAGCCAGCCAAACTTACTGAAAACTATCTATAAGCTGTAGTGAAGATGGATCTACTGAAAACCCACATTCTTCGAGTATTTCTCGAGCAGCAACCTCCTTTGGATCTGAGTCTGTACCATCAATCAAACCGGCACATAATTCCAATGTGTTGGCGCTGTTAGGAGGGACAGTTGTGCAAGAGAACACCTCGTCATCATCCAACCTCGTTTTTCCGGTCGCCTCACGAAGTTTGTTGAAGTATATCACTAAGAGAGATATCGAAGAATTAAAAAACAGGGGACAGCTCCAAGAATAGACTATTACTGTTATTCCATGCTAGCGTGAGGAAGCGTGTGCTCTGGCGATTGGCTACGCAACGACGATGATGACGATTTTCTTGAACGGAACAGTTATCAATCACAGAACAGCCGTGATAGATAAATGAACATTCATACTAGATACATGTTCGGCTCATGACCAAACTATTCGGCAGTATCAAAATAGCATACATCTGCCTTTGCGCGTTGAACCCTGCATTGGACATGACACGGACACTTCGTTTCTTTCTGAATGTCTGGGGCATCCGTCACCGTTCAACATAACACTACAGTGGTCTCCACCAATATTCGCCACACAAGCCGCTCCCCTCCCCACGAAAAGTGGCATTCCCCCCATTCTCCATTCCATTAAGAGGCAGAACCCCAAGCCCTTTTGGACGCCCATATAACGGGAAACCTACTGTTTAGAGGATTAAACCGAATGGATATGCTGTATAAGATCCACACATAAAGACTATCCTTCACGGGAGCAGTTTTTCAGAAACCTAGTGTTTGTCCACTGAAGTAGACGGGAAGAACAGCTCCATAAAAACAGTCCAAACTGCACGGTAGGTGTAGGCGGGACATGTACATTGTTAGTGGCACCTGCCAATAGTCACAATTTGCCCTAAAGATTGGTGTTTTACGCATACTAAATACCGTTATGATGTTCCTTTCAGAGCGGTAATTGCATGCACGCGGACAACAGAAAGTAATGCTATCAATTACACGATCCATCGTATGATTAGGATGATAGGTTACACAATAAGGAATAGTGTAGTGCGACTTCAAGGTTTCCACAAGATACTGCTATCAGCCTACAGTTCATGTGAATCGTATTATACCGTCTTCAAGCGTCAAAACCGATCATGGCAATGAAACGCGTCATATTTACCTCTACGGTACCGTTTTCACGTTTCCATAAAAAATAAGTCACTGCTCGACGTTTGAAACAGTGGCGCTTTTTTAACTCAAAGTAAGTATACGGCCGATGCATCGTCGGCCAGAGGGGAACCCAGCTTGACTGTCATGAAACCGTCTCTCCTGATAATTGATCGACCCGCACAAAATAAGCCAGAGAAAGCCTTGGAAGTAAGACTTCACTAAGGCAAAGTGCTACTTTTTACTTGCTATGTACAAACAAACAGAGTAAGGCTTTCCACCAATCTCTCTCCATATGCGGTCTCGACACTCTGATCTAAGTCTCTTTGGTGATGTCAACGATAAAATTGAAAAATACCAGGAGGTGGAGGGACCCTGAGGGGGAAGCGTTCAAATAATTCGTTGTAAATGCCAATGCAACCGGAATGAAGGGCAAGAAGAATGCAGAAAAAACTTCGACGGCATCACCTGTGGGTCAAGTATATGTCAAGAGGCCAATCTATCTGCGGATTCAAACACACGTCGAAGGTTCAGTAAGACCGCTACTGGTGGCCGGGTGCTACGCTTAGTATCGCTCAAGCACATGTGAGGTCGACACCTAGTTTAGGCCTTGCCTGATGCTTTCTAACTTGAGTCTTGCGTGATGAAGTCAGGTTTCGCAGTACTAAAGACGTTCAGCTGTGAAACCCACGCGGTGCACAGCTGTCACGCAGTCAGAAAGAGGCTCAGAAAACGAGATAGTACCTGGCGGCCCAAACCTAGAAGGGGACGATCGAGAAGCCAGGGTCTGATGCGATCCAGTCATGCCTTAACGCTGGACTATTTTGAGCTCAGTACTGTCGAAACTAACGGACTCGTCACAACCGGGGTAAGGTTCATGTTTCCATGGTTAAGTAATCACCCAAGGCGCATTTTCAAACAAAGGTAGAATTAATGGTTGACCCAAGGTTACCAGAAAGTATTCTTGCCCCCAAATTATTCCAAACAGTCCGACATAGGCTCGCTAAAAAGATTTACAGTCAACTTACAATGGAAGTGTGCGAGCCCCGCGGCCCAGTGGTCACTGAAAGCAGGGAGAAGTATTAGTATTCCAGGCACTGAAAAAAGATCTACACGCAAAGGTGTTGGCTCAAGCCAACGCTTGAACTGATGTCCACCAGACCTGGCAGTAGCGTCTTGATAAGTGTCATAGGTTCAATAGCCGCAGAATAATAATAGTCGTCCAACTGTAACATTCTTCCAGTGCCTTGCTGCCATGCCACCAAGGAAAACCGACAGCCGAGATTACGCCACGCGTCCCAAGCCCACGAAGGGCAGTCGAGATTTAAACGCTGAGTTCGACTAACAAGTTTGCGCCTGAGCTGACCCCAGCTCGACGATCATAAGTAGGTACCGTGTTTGAGCTCTGGGGACGCAATGTATATTCATGAAGTGCCAGGAGTACCTAACAGATCAGCCTGCCGACCTATCTTCGGACGAGTTTGGAAATCGAATGTGCGGGAAAAAACAGAAATTTCATACTGCGGTATACCAGACACAACTGTGGACCGCAAATTGTGGCTGGAATAATTATGCGACAACGTAATTGAAAAAAATAATTGTAATGGTTGAACAAAATCGGTCTGTTTTGGAAATATGTTGAAGTATGAAGTTTCCTAAGACAATTGGTGAATGAACAATTTTCTGACCTTTGTGTCACGATCACAACCAGAATTCTTATCCGATTCTGTCCCTCTTCTGAAGAGACTTTCGGACTTGGCCATTTGCTACCGGTTTCTTGAGGAACACCATAAGTTAGTATTTCTCAGAATAGAGCACCTTGTATAAGCTGCTTTCAGTAGGCCTCTTCGAGTGATCCAGCCAACTTGTTCTGCACTAATTCTCCTCTTCACTGATTAATAACTGCAATTACGGTCATTATAGTAGCAGATTGGATTCAATGAAACAGAGTGATTTGTCCATGTAAGTGTTTCCCTACTTAGTGTTAACTTTCCGGAACGCTGTAGTGTTACCATTACAGTATGAAAGAAAGGCTGCTAAAGAACACGATGATACGTACCAGGACGGAATTGTTTGACCAAAAGAAGGCAAGACTTCTGCACATGATAGAGGAGAATGCTAACGCTAAATAGAAAACATGAGGGTGACCGGATCCAAACAAACCTGTCATGGGATAAGACGCCATCCCAGTATCGTGGCTTCCCGTCCTATAGACCAAATTGGTTGGATGGTAAAAAAACCAACTTGGAGATAAGTGAGCCGATAAGTTTTGATGTAGTTTGAAGGGTCCGTTAAAGGAGCAGCCTTGAATTTTGTTATCACCGGCATTTGGGACATTGTTCCATGTAGCGGAAGCGTACGAAATTCGAAAACAGGGTTTACGCGGAGGCAATCAGCTGAAATAGGAATGTTACATAAACATCACCATCAATGACATCAACATCAGTGTTGGCACTGATGCTTCACCGCCGTTACATAAACATCAAATTAGCAGGTAGTTCGAAGGTTCAGGCCCAGATATTTCTTTCAAAATAAACCGTGTACTGCTGCACAGTCGTTCTGGTGGCCTCGACATTTGGGTGCCAACAGTGTAACGTGGAAAAGATTTAATCAGTTGATCAGTAAATTGTGACATATCCTGTCAACTTCGTCACTTCTCAGTTAAACGGTAGGAGGACACCCTCAACTGTTTGCTGTCTCCGCAGCAAGATTGGATGCATGTCAACCGTGAATGTATCTTGTAATCCTCGTTCCCATGCAACTGTCAAGCTGTTTCTTGCAGTCTTTCTCGAATTCTGAGGGTTCCTCAGGTAGAACATTTAACGATTTAACTACTATCCACAACATGGAACCGCCCAAAATAGTCTTTCGATTCGAGAGATTAGGCGAATGTTCTCTCAGTTATGGTGTAACGCTGTTGTATCACTCATCAAGTATGTTGTGCGTTAACCTCCATATGCACTCTGGATCACTCAAGTTATCTCACAAAAGACTCTCCTATTTTTGAGGGCACTCTGCGTTTACATCTCGAACACTCAACCCCGCACTAACGATTGGTTATGAAACGTTTGCAATCCAACTGCCACGCTCGGAGAACAGACAAACAACCAGATACCCGTATTATCAGCTCAAATGATTGAATGAGACGGTTAAACGTCACCCAGTTTTATACTTAATCAGGGGTTCTTCGAGTGCGTGAGATGTTCTTGTTTACGTGATAGGACTCGGCGGGTTGGGCGCTAAACTCAGGACATTTCCAGTCACCCCGTCGGGTCTAGTGGATGACCGACAGGTCCCGTACGACCAGTTTTAGGGGTAACGATCTCCGACTCACCATCAAAATCTTTCCTTGGGTCAAGATAATATTCGGGCCACTCTCTAATCTGCTTGTAAGTGTCCCGAGTGTGGTGTCTATTATCCTAATCTCGCAGTTCAACAATCATTCTTCATTTGCTTAAATATCCCCATGGTTTGAAAAAGAACACAGTGACGAACATTAATGTTTTCCCGATTTCGTCATCAGGTCAGTACATATCTAATAGTTAAAATAGGAGCGAAAAGTGAAATACGCAGCGGAGATTGGCTAGTGAAATGCAAACCGTGGAGACACGAACGACTGGTTGTCTGCGCCCCCCATGTCGCATCTAGTTGGACGCTGTGAGAGTCAAGAGGGCTATTTAGTGACTTGGCTGGTTGATTCGTGTCACACGACCAAGGCACACTCAGCGTTCATATGAAACGTTTTGGACACAACAGTACCGGGTTTCACAGGCGTATAGCGACTGCCTCGGTTGTAGTCAAGCAACGCCGTTGGAGAGATACTGGCGGTCCATTTAGTACATTGGAAATGACCTGAAATGATTCATTTAGACTTGGTGCCCTGTGTCAATTAGGTGGGACGCAATTGAGCTTCTGGTTTAACTGTTGAGGTTAATGGTATTCCGGTATTCCGTATTATTTTAGAAAGTTGCCGTCGTGCGCCCAGCATGCTCCACTGAACAACAGCAGGAGAGAACTGACATCTTGTCTTTGAGGTTTAAGTTGGGCAAAGGGTTGGTTGTAAACAGAGATCACAGAGTTCCAGCAGGAAGCGTGCGTTGTAGAGATTCCAACAAGCCGCGATTGACCATGTCCACCAACAGATCGCCCTCATACGGTAAACTCAAGTATATTGGCTTCTTTCCAACGGTCGTGATAGGGTGTTGGATAGGAAGATCGGGTATAGTTTTCGTTACAAATTTCTCCCGATAACCATTGGCTCGGAGCAGGTTAGCAATGTGCTGTAGTTCAGCAGAGCAAATACGTGTTGCCCGGTCCGTTAAAGTGTGAATCAGGGTTCGTTTCGCCTCAGTGCCACAAAAATCAGGAAGTTTTGTGTACTGCCATGTCTACGTGAGCTTTCTGTAGACAGACCTCTGAAAGGAACCCGTGGAAAGTCTGACTAACTTAACGTCCGGGAAGTGGAAAGCTTTGTCAATTTCAGTTTCAAAAGTGAAATAAATAGATGGATGAGCTCGGTTGAAGTTGGTCGGGAGAGCATCCATTTCGGAATGAAGAGATTAGACTTACGCACTTTTACCAAAGGTACGTAGATGATATTTTCATGCTAGTATCAAACGGTTCCAAAATGGAACCAGCCACCGGTGGAGAGTTACAATTCAAGACTATCGTTTCTTCTGGGGTACATAACTTGCTTCCGACCACGCCATGGTGCGTACACGCCGGACAGTTTGTTTTCTCTCGCAAGTCAGCCAGAAACATGCCAATCTACTATCTTCGAAGAAGTGCCATAGCTCAGCAGTTACGATCTGAGCTGGCTCAACAAATCTCCACAGTAAAACAACACTACGCTGGGAGTGAGCACGTGGATGAAGCAGGACAATATGAAAGGAGCAATACCAGCGGCGTTTGGTGCCAAGTCAGCCAGAAACATGCCAATCTACTATCTTCGAAGAAGTGCCATAGCTCAGCAGTTACGATCTGAGCTGGCTCAACAAATCTCCACAGTAAAACAACACTACGCTGGGAGTGAGCACGTGGATAAAGCAGGACAATATGAAAGGTGCAATACCAGCGGCGTTTGGTGCTGTCTGTCCGACTTCTCCAACTCAACCACAAGATCACTAAATGTCGTCGAGATCGCTATCCATGATTGATGCCAGGATAATCATACCAGCAGGCGATGAAAACGACGGCGTATGCAAATTCCCCAAACGCCAAACAGTGAAGAGCCCAAGACCGACAGCTCTGGTCGACATCGAAAGCTCAGGAGACAGAAAGCTTTTGCTACCGGAGACAGCCAAGCCCTATACCAACCGATACACCAGACTGGCTCTAAGGAAGCAGCGGTCAGTGAAACGCACAAACATGGACTAGAAAGGTAGGCCGAGTACTTCGAAGAACAATCAAGTTGGGCTCCTGCAACAACCTGCGGAGATAGTGCATGAAATTTTAACGAAATAACCGTAATGATATCTGGGAAGGCAGCAGGACTGGATGGTCTGTATCCAGCTCTCTTGAAATAAGGTGGAGAATACCTGGTGACAAAGCTTATTGGCGCGATATGGAACGAAAAGAAAAGGCCTACTGAATAGGGCACGTCGGCAGTTATTCCCGTCATCGAAAAGGGTACGCGAACGCTGCGCGAGCATCACCGCGGCATCAGCCTAGTAGCTGTGGCACCGAAGTTGCTCTCTGGCTTCTTTCAAAGGTTCATTGAGCAGAAGGAGACAGACCCATGAAAACCAAGCTGGGTTCAGTGCTGCAAGAGTAGGTATCGATTATGTTTTCACCCTCTGTCAGATTCTGGAACAGCGACACCGCTTCCAGCAACTAACAATGGTTGTGTTCCTTGATCTGAAAGCTACCTTTGACTTCGTGGACCGTGAGGCACTATGGCAGTGTTTATGGGGTGAAGGTGTCCCCATAAATTCTTGACTGTATGCCGTCCTGCGGACTTGTGACAATCAACGGGAAGCTCTTGTGTTCTGTTCGACAGAGGATGAAGTGCAGCGACAACCAGAATAGGAATGGAAGGGGCTGAGGGACCGGGCACATACACAAATAAACTTATGCCACAACGGCCGTCGCGTGGTGACATCAGCCGGGTCGCCTTACTTGCTGCATACAGCAGGGCGGGTAAGCGAAAACAGGCTACTGCTGACGCCTCCCTTC